TGGGATTTAATTCCGAGTTTGCTAAAAGGAACGGAATAGTAGACAAGATTGAAGCATTTTACTTTTTAGCAGGTATACAGTTACGACCGGTTGATGCGCGTTAAACATATAAGAAGCCAAAGAAGCCGGATAAATACTGGTCATGTTCATGTGGGCGTTGTTTGTTAAATATCTCGAGGAGTGTATAATTAACAATATTATATGTGACGTAAGGATATTAATAGTTGATATTCGAATGAATTTTCTGGCCTATAAACGCAGCGCATTCGACAACCTTGAATTTCTAACACAGTAAGGTTATTTCATGTCAAAAGCATGTATCTAAGCAACGACACTGTTGCACTTATTGCAAGGCGTGCAATTATTTTGAAACCGCCACTGGTAGATAAGTCCTCATGCTGCTTCTATCTTGAAAATCACCTTATTTTTCCGAGATTACATTTAACACCAACCTTTCTACTAGGATGCTTCCTAGATCAAGTACGGGTTTTTCGAGGACGAAACTGAAACATGACATTTAAAACCATAACACAATAGCTTTCTTCTCTGGCTTGTTTTCCTTCTAGATGCCCTTTTAAAGATTGTTAAAGGTTAACTCTTGCTAGGAGAAAATGTGGCACATATTGTGTCTTGAATTTTTTTTTTATACGTACTGCGTATCTAGATTCTATCTAACTGAAAATATATTTTCGTCACAAAAATAAACATTATTAGAGTTTAACAAATACTAACATCTGTGTAGAAAGGCACAATAAAATATCAGCCTAAATTCAAAAGACATACCGGTGTAGCTGATGTATAGGCAAACGGAGTCACTGTACATTTGAAGTATCAGAGAGATTAGAGTATGAATCGAAATATATATAGATATGCGTTTTAAGCAATAAAGAAATATTAGATTTATTCATCAAACCTCAGGCCAAGGCTTCGTTTCAGCTGGTGTCCAAACACAGCCGGCTGTACGGGCTACTGGGACCAATCAGGCAGCTTCAAAAGCGCAGTTCACTGCGCCTTTTCTGTTTTGCTTGGTTCGGCGATGATGGAACACGCACCGAAACATGACGAGCACCATGATCGTGCGGTTTCGTTGCTGTCTGATTGGTTGCATCAGCTCGTAGTGTCGGCTGCGTTTCGACTTAAATGAAATGGCGTTTGCTTTTTTATAGAAGGCATACAAACACACATGCAAATAGAGTAAAACATATGGTCACGGCACATTGATTGTACAGTCGGGGACAAAAGTCCCCAGGACGCGCGAGCTGCGACTAAAACGCATCGCTCTGCCATCTGCCGGCGGGTCGCCTGGTTTCGAGATCACACAAAAGCGCATGCGCGTCCTACTGTGCCTGCAAACATGTGTGTTTTCCTGCTTTTCTGCCGTCGCGGCGCCTAACTCGGAATCGGGCGTGTGGTGCCGCCTCGGAGGTAGCGCTTACTGACATGGCACCTATGAAGCAAGGAGTCACGGCTGCTCAACTAAGCGATAAGCTCAGCTGGTTATAAAGCAAGTTGAGCTGACACGGCGAAATGCGGCGCAATCCCGCAAGCGGTATCTCTATTTTCGGAATGTGTACCAGACGCTCGTCAGCCGCGAGCGCTATCTCCAAGGCGGTACCACGCGCCCGATCCCGAGTTAGACGCCGCGCCACAGAAAAGCGGAAAAACACGCATGCTTGCGGGCAGAGTAGGACGCGCATGCGCTTTTGTGTGATCTCGAAACCAGGCGACCCGCCCGCAGATGGCAGAGCAATGCGTTTCAGCCGCAGCTCGCGCGTCCTGGGGTCTTTTGTCCCCGACTGTACATGTACAGTCTTGTACAATCATGTACAATCTTTTGCAGCCTTTCTTATTGTCTGAACTACGAATGCAACGCGATGCAAATGAATTAAACGACAGATATATTTTGAGTGAACTTACTTTCTCTATGGAAGATTTTTCAACAAGCCCTGAACTTTTTTCTTTCTATAAATAACAAATATCTTGTTTCTTGAAACATCTGTTACTTGATCTTTAATGTGTATCTTATTCTTTGTAGGTCAAATTTTTCCGTCGACATCATAGCTTCTCTAGTTCTAGCTTTTTTTATGCGTTCATAGGCTTAGTTTTCTTTGTCATGCTGTGCTTATTATTATACGTTATACTTGAACCAATACCGTGACTATCTTTGCTTATTTTATTTATTATGCGATTCATTCATGTTGTGAGTCTGCCCGTGTGGGTGCCTTCGGCTTTGTCAAATCGTAAATATCACAGCTTTTTTCTGTTGGGCTTCTGCCTCATCATGTACCTCTCAAATGTAAATAAACTCTTTTAACGTGATAGCGATAACGAGAGCAAGTCGCACCGGCCTCAATGCAGTGGCAGAAAAGCCGGCGGCGGTGGCTTGACGTGAAAATCCTGATTGGTCGTTTGCGTCATGAAGTCACAGCCACATGACCTCGCGCGGGAATTTCGAACGACCGATAACGCTCACGTGAAATGCGACATAACGCCTGGAATGAAAGCGATAAATAAACATGAAATGTAATTCAGATTAAAGGAAACTGCATGACTGAAATGACTTCACTTGCTTGCTTTCCTTTGCTTCAAGAGAAAAATTTAAAGATTTTTAGGCGGGATTCGAATCAACGACCCTTCGGTTGCGATCCAGTCTACTCACTAGACCATGTCCACCCCACTTCCGGCTCTCTGGCAGGATGGCAGGAACAGCATGAGAAGTGAATGAGAAGGCTATTCAAACGGGGCCCGTTATTGCTATCGCGTTCCACATTTAAACAAACCTCGGCAGACCTCACTCATGAGGGCTTTCCTTTGGTGTGGCATGACTGCTCTACAGCGTGGACGGTGTGATCTTCATGCATTCTCTCAGATGCGTGGTGTCTACACCGCCAGTAGAGTAGCATCGCACCCACAGTGCCAAAATGTGGGTGCGCTGGTGTAAATGAATGGCGATAATGTATTTTTTCTGGTAAAGTATTCGGTGACATTGTCAACTGGCATGCAGCAGCCAGGCTAGCAAATGCCGTGGAGAGGTGACTCGCATCCCAAACGTCCCAGATGCCTTTGTTTCATTTCGATCACTGCTATTGATATGCTTGCAAGAATGGGACGTTTACAATAAAGATATAGCAATTTTTTCAAGATAGATATAAAACATACCTTTTTAATGAATCTTTATATGCTTGTAGTTCATATTCATTATCGCTGCAGGTTCAGAAGGTTAATTAACAGCAAAATGTTATTGTTTTATTTTTTCTTGTTTTGCAATTTATGGTTCCAAGTGCATCAGCAAAAGACATAGGCATAGTTGCATGTTATCCCTTCAGAAGTTTATAGAGGATGAACTAATTGTATTTTAGATGGTGATCATAGCAAAAATAGCATGTCACTATTTCAGCGATTGCTGCTTGTGAACTTGAGACTGGACGACGCCTTATCAATTGTCATTCGTGACAAGATAAAAAAAAGCTCGCGCCGCTTTTCAGTCAAAAAGATCGTCTGCTATTTCACGCCGGCTCTCGGCGCCGTCTGCTAGTTCGTTGGCGGCAGTTGGCGTCGCGACCGCTTGCGCCATCTCTCGTTTCCAGTGCGAAACGGCGCCGTATTGTTTAAGACCGGGGGCTTCGCTGCGTTTCCATAGGAGCTAAGCCTTTTTCTTTCTTTACTTTTTCCCCAGAAAAGTTCGTTGTTTGCAAATTTTACTAAAACAAAAATTCACCATTTGTGGTCAACGCTGCACAAGATTGTAGAGCAATAGGTTAAGAAACCGAATTTCGCGGTTGGTTTAAAGAGCCTGGCCGCTAGTTGGGACACTCGGTCGATATTTAGTATTGTTTCCACCGCAAAACTAAAATACGTATCGCCCGCGACGCTCATGCTCCACCCGAATGTAACGCTACCGATACGAACCAGATGCCTCATTTTCAGCACTAACCGTCATCTTATTTAAAAGTTATAAGTGATTCTCTGAGATTTTCAAGGGGGGAAATGGCGGGTGACGGAGTCCTCGAACACATGGAAGTGAATGGCAGCGGTTGTTGAGAACGGGACAAATTTTGCATTGCATCGCCATCAGCGTTGAGCGTTCGGAATATTGTTGGGAGATTCTTGTTTTTCTTTCTGGGGGTCGCTTATGCTTGCATTGTGCACGTCTTTGAAGTGGGAGTTCAGCTTGTTTTGGTCTTCGTCTTAACGACGAACGCAACGCTAGAACGTGGCAACGCCAAGACAGACGCGTCAGCCGTTTCGCAGCACTTCACGTGGAGTCTCTCACCGAGCGTGATCGTGTTTGCTGATTGGGGCGGGTCCGGCATCTATTGATGATGACGTCAGGCACAGGCCTTGAGTTCGAGTCGCGGATGGCTTTACGCGCGAAAGGCTGAAAATTCTACATTTGAGTAATTCCTTCTCAACAACACTTCTTTTTTTTTTTTGTAAATGTATAAATGTGGCACGCTTGCGTGTGGATTACGCTATTTCAGCAGGATATACAGTAAGACAGCACGTTTATGAAGGTTTCTTATTCAAGCAATATATCTGTTCAGAGTTGAGCCGACATTTAAAATACCGCTCGATTACGTATAAAACGCGATAGTCGATTACCGAGTTCGTTGTATATATCTTCAACGCCACTATGGCGTCGGAGAGTGTACAACTGGGGTGGCAATGGCAATATTTTTCAATTTGTGCATGGCCATCTATCTGTATGGAAGAGTGGCACTGCTCATGGAAGTCACTTTTGATCGCCATTGGCTAATATAATCGGCTCGAAAAAATGGCTCCTCTAGAGATGGGTCGAAAAGTGCGTGGTTTGGACCGGTGCGTGTTCCAACTCTGGTCATATTCTCAGATTCTACGTCAAGAAACGATTCGCAGATTAATTACAGGCAGAGGGTAGTTGGGGCGTCACATACCCAAATTATTTTATTTTAGTAAGGTTTTACATTAGAAGCATCGTTTTATTTCGCTCCAAATATGTTTTTTGACACCTGGCCCGCTCATTAAGGCCTCAGCACGTTCTTTTTGAATTCACCATGGATATTCCCTTTGGGATGGTAGTTGCAGACTACAAAATATCTATAAAGATGCCCCTCTCGGGCACGACTTTTAGCACACCCAAGAGTTTTGCTCGACTTCCAAATAACTTGAGTGAAGTGAGAAGTCTGCCTGCTGTAGCGCGGGTGGTTGTAGTCGTAGTGCTTCTTTTCCTCGTACCATAATTTGATTGCACTTTTAGCTGTAAAGAAATCATTGTAATATCCATATACTTTTACAGGTTTATAGTAAACGTCGTGTTGTATCAAGATTATATCAAGTTGCGTATATGCTAAGTGTAACCTGGCCTACTTCACTTTAAGCCAATAACAGGAATAAAAGGAAAGTGTATCCATTTCTCGGACTCGCAAAAGTTCTTTGATCTTAAATCTTTTAAGACATATATTATTAGTATTTCTTAGGAAGCATGTTGATTGTCATTTTACTGATTCTTGTAATTATGCCATCGCCTTAAAATACAAGTGTAGTTATTTAAATAGTCTCGATATTATTAGCACTCTCATATTTCACCGAGATCTTCCAGAGACGATTAGACGCCGCGATGGACAGCAATCGTTAGATTTAAAAAAAATAAAAAAAATTGCCTATGCATGAGCTACCAGTATACGGAACACAGTTGCTCTAAAAGCATTAAACCAGAAGTGACTATCTTCCGAAACGGATTGTAAAAAACATTCTATGAATGATAAATATTTAACAAACACGTCTGCGATAATCGTAAGCTTGTTTTGTCAAAACACTAAAGTGATATTCTACTCAATGCAAAAATATTAATGTTTATGCGGGACGCCCATGTCACAAAACGAATTTTCATGAAAAACAAAGTTGGCGCAATATCTAAGCCTTGAGGGGAAATTTAAGTTAGGAGCCACTCGGAAACGTGCTTCACTTTTGTGGTAAACGCTTCAAAACGCGTAGAAACGTGCTTCAGATTCCGCTTCTAACTATTAATGTTTCTCGCGACAATAAACTATACTAATAATGAATTCCACTGGTAGATCCGGAGCGCTTTTCAAAATCCGGGAGGGAGGCAAAATTCCGCTCCGTAGGACCCGCTCCCAATCGACGAGCGGAAGATGGACTCGCATTTTTAGAGCGACCCACCGATTCGCCCGAGGCGGTCGGCCATTCAAAATGACCGCTGCTCGAACGTGACAAGCCGACCAACCTCTCAGCCGACTGAACTTAGCAACGATGTCACAACTGTCACTGTTCACCTGCTGAAACAACACGTGACTCAGGCCGGGCGAAAATGTCCGTACCGTGGAGCCCGTGTCACAAATAACGAAAAAGACGTCCGCATTCGCCACCGTTCCACACATTTCGGCCGCCTCGAAGCGGCGGGACACGCACAGCGATCGCCATTGCTGTGCGGACTCCAGATTGCTGTGCCAGCAATCTGGAGTTCAGATTGCTGGCAAGACTTCAATAAACGCAAAGAGGTAACAAATAAATCACTTTCACGGTCGCTGCCTAATCTGTTCTTGCTTTATTGCACAAGGAAACCGCGGCGACATGCAGTGTAAAAAGGTAAACAATCATTGGCTGCAAAATGAACAGGCCTAACATTGCGTCTGCCCCGGGATTTTCTGTCACTCTTTTTCTCGTACTTCCACTCACGATCACAGATGTCGGCGCTTACGAGTTACCACGCTCAAATCCCGGATGTTTATTCCTCATCTACGCGAGGTAGAAGCGTTCGAGCCGTCACAATCCCGCGTAAACAACCGATGCATCCGAAAAGATCGAACTCGGCAACCCGACCGGTTCGGCGACCTCGCCAACCTCGCCGCGCATGCGCACTGTCGAGTTAAAGGAAATGACGTACGCGCTTCTGTCAACTTCCTTCAGGACCTACGGGAATTCACGGTGTGGTTGCAGCACAATTCGGCCGCTCGAAGGAGCAAGCGGTGCCAGAGATCTAAGAACGGAAAATGACTAGCTCGAGCTAGATCTGCGAGTGGAATATTCGCGCACTAAATGGGAGAGCTTTTGGAGCGCTCGAGATCTGCAAGTGGACTTCACCATAAGAGAATCTTTGTATAAAGGGAGAAGGTGAGAAACTTGTCTACATGACATACTTATCTAGGCACAGATAAATTTTATTTTATTTTATTTATTTATTAATTTATTTATTAACCCTCAAGGCCCCGAAGGGTATTACAGAGGAGAGGGGGGGGGGGGGGAGTTAGGTGACAAGGGTACAGTTGTTCATTCATAAAATATAATACAGTAATTAATGCACGCTTGCTCAGACACTTGAAAAATATTTACACAATGTTATAACAGTAATACCTACTAGGAAATGGTTAATCAAAATTAACAAACAAGGCATTTTTAAAATCAATAATATTGGTTATGGAGGCTATGTCAGCGGAAAGGCGATTCCAATTAGGGCTAGTGCGAGGAACAAAGGAGTTATAATAAGTGTTAGTTTTGTCATCCATGTTGATTTATTATAAATAATTATTTTAACTTTTGTTTAATAATAAATAAATATTTAGTAATTTGTAAGTTTATGGGGTAATGGCTCTAAGATTGCAAGCGCCTGGACATACTTCTAAATTTCGAACACGAAACGTTTTGCTACGACATTAAATTTAAGAAACATCTGTAAAAAAGCTTGAATTTGGGCTAGTTTGGACATATTGGAGCAAAAAAACCCAATGTAAAAATCACTCGTGCTTATGCATTATTGCGCTGCTTCCAACAAACAGCAACAAAAACAACAATGACTAACAATAGCAACTTAATTGTTCTTGTGTATTTTGTGACGTTTATTTTTCTTAATAAAAAACGACTGTATTCGAGATATTTTTCGGGCTTTGAGGATTAAGGAAGATTATCCTGTAAAAAAATCGGATTGTTTACATTAAAAAAGAGGAAGATTTGGACTAAACATTCCAATAAAACGGGCATGTTATTCGTTTCTTTTATTTACGACTAAATTTAGATGATTCGTCATTCAAAACCGTACATATTTTTTGTTGTTTAGGAATCCTATATTTTACATCAAAAATTTAAAAGCGTCACAAGGAAATTCAGCAAAATATCAATATTATGAATGAGAAATGCAATGTGAGAAAATGCATCATCTAGAATTTTTCTGGCATGCTAAACATAACTAAATACCTCTTCGCCCTTCATACACGCATATCTTTATATACTTCGATCTTTTATAATGGTTATGCACAGAGTTGCGTCTAAGATACAGCCGATCGACGATGACGAAGAAAAAGCATAACCCAAGCACGAGACCAGCCGAATTCTGCGTACGCCGCAACTCGCGGCATGCATATACTTTTATTATATCACTACTAATGTTCTAGAGGTAACGTATCCGAGTCATTAATGATCCGGAACTTAGACACCCACACGATTCTTGCTTAGGCTCACTGGGAACGGTTTCCGGAGTGACGCATCTAATTTTCCTATTGGTTGTCGTGACGACGGGGGTTGGGGATGTCTCTTTTATTTACAGATGTGTTTTAAAAATTCAGCGAAAGCTACACTGGTGCGGTTTGATGAGGTGAGTTATTCAGCCAGGGGGGCATAAAAGGGAGTCGTCCAGTTAGTTAAAATAAGTTATGTATATTTTTAGTTAGTGGCACTAAATATATACTTTCAATTAGAAACTTGCTGAGCTTAATCGAAAGCCACTAAATCAATCAGTTTTAGGGAATTCGGAAAACACGGAAAGCTTGCAGGAGCGCTTAATTTAGCACTCATGCAGCAGGAGCAAGGCTCCTGGTGCGATAACGGACAGTGCCGTTTTTTTCGACCCTTATCACCCACGTTTTCTCACTGCCAGCCTATTGCCTGTTGCACGACTGGTAACTTTAGCGAATTTCTGCTCTTGCCGCGTCTTCACTTTTTTAAAAAGTATACTCATTGAATGGTTTTCGATCATGCTTTTTTAGTTTTTTAGTGCAACCGGATGTTTTTATTTCCCCCAATTAAAAACTTAACTAAAATAGTGAATTTATTTCACATATCGTAACGATTAGCCCCCTCTATTATGCCCCCTTTTAGTATATCAACTGCACAAACCGCATTACTGAAGCTTTCAATAATTTTTTAAAACAAATCTGTAAAGCCTTAAATGGGTACTCCTGCCGTTTCTTGACCTAAAAAAACAAATTGCATTTTTTGGCTACGCGGACTTTAGTCTTCAGGGTGTGTTATTTATTTTCTCGAAAATCAAAGTAGCAATTGATAAAACCGTAAATGAAGATGATGCCGAAACCAGCATTCCACTTCCCGCGCGCTCGCCAGTTGTGTGACGTTACAAATGGTCCAGACTTTCAAGTCGTGCAGGTAGTCTAAAACCGAGTATGTCAAATGTTTTTTTTGTTTCTTTTTGCATGCTTTTCAGTGAATTAGCTACCAACCATTCTTTGCGCACCATCAAGCGTCTTGCAATCAGTTGTAAACATGGCTTACTGCCCACATTGTACCATTTCTGTCGTCACACTTCAATGTTGCCATCCCGGCTTGAGAAACAGGATAAAAACGAAATTGCAAAAATTCCATAACTTTGTGCAATGTTTTTTTTTTTTTTTTTTTTCACAGAATACTTGAGGAACTTGTACAGTCTGGTCTATCGGTGCGTTGAGCCAATTTAAAGGCAAATTAGCGACCATAAATCATAAAACTCAAATGAACAAGACACATAATCTTGCCGCCTTGTTAATCAGCATTAAGCATTGCTTTTAGAACGTGCAAAATTCCTGGGGAAAAATGGCGCTGGCTCTTCGCTGTTGCCAGAATCTTACTTTTTTAATTGCTGTGATATGGGAGACCCTCAATGGACTTATTCCAAAACCGAGGCGCCCCATCGCGGCAAGATACCACGCAGTGCACTCTGGGAACTAGTTGGCCACTCAGTTTTGGTTTCGACTGAGCAGCTTCATCTCATGCTATCACGCCGCGACCGAAAGCGGTGCTTGCGTTTTAGATTATCTGACTTTTCATGAACGTACAATACACTCATTCTCGAGCGATACGAAACGAAGACCGGGGAACTTTCCTTGGTTCCCGAAACACCGGATATAATGAGTGCGTATGCAAACGTAGTAAGACGTGGCTTAGTCACCTCACCCCACGAGTGCATCTTTCAGTTCAATTTCCATAATCCTGTCTACTACCAGTAAACTACAACTGAAATTTTGTTATTTGGTGCCTCACACGTGTTTTGCTTGCCAAACGTCTGCTTCTTGTTACTTCATTGGGCGAAAAATAAGCTGCATCGTCACAGGAGTATCAAAGTTGAGCCCAGGGTTGACGCATGAACTTTTAAGGAAACGCAACATATTCGACCTCACTACAGCAAAAAAAGTTAGTATGATGCCTTCCTTCGTGTCATCATATATCTCCCACTCAAATCTTATGCTGATAGAAGATTAAGTTTTCGCAAACGCTGGGGTTAGCTTGCTACGACGGAGGCCCTAACAAGCGTCCACTACTCCTGGCTAAGCCTTTTGGACGAGCTTTTACTGACGCCTAAGATCACTGTCTGAACGGTGTGTCTAAAATTATCTCGGCATACTCAGGCGGGAAGAAAGCAAACACATAACAAATATTATGGCCATTAGCAACCGTCAAACGCGCTTTGAATAATTTCGTTCGTTTAGTCGTTTGGCGCACCGCATTGGGGTTTATGCCCGTCCGGCGAACGCTGCGACATTCTTCACACAAGTGCTCGGCTTTTGCTTTCTTAATACGGTCTGTATCTGCGAATGTGCCTATATGATTGCAAGATAACTTTATGCGCATACGCGATGTTGAATATTAGGGGAATGCAAGCGGGTGGGGACTTCACTTCGTGCTGTGCTGCGGTTCAGTGCAGATAAGATGTAAGAATTGTGTCGAGATTGAGCTTTGCAATGGCGCCTCCGTTTTACCTCGCGTGAGTCTATAGACGCACGAAACAAACTTCCTGCTCAACAACACTAATATAAAGGCGCGAGCTCGATGTATGCATATTTATTGGTTGCTACAGCTTGTTCATTCGTACACAAGCAAGATCCCTGAGCTTGGCCAGCACTGGCTCGTCCACACACCTCGATTGGAACGCTAACAGAAAGGCTCAAGTACAAAACGACTTCGCCGGGACTGGCTCATCCACATACCTCGATCGGAACGCTAACAGAAAGGCTCAAGTACAAAAATACAACAAGCATGTGTTAAGACAAGCTATACGTCTCGGGCTTGTGCTAAAGCTTCGAGGTCGGGCCATTTAGGTTAGTTTAGAAAACACAGATGACGCTCTCGGGACCAGAAAACAGGAGATAACGGCCGTCAATAGTCCACGCCCTGTATATAATTACTTGTCGACGTGTCGATCGAAACCAAAACCATGCCACCCTTCTCCCTGCCCAACTAGTTCCCGGAGCGCAACACGCGCCGTGTTGCATGCCGGGCTTTATGGAAGTAGTCTATTGACTATCGGTCTCGTAGCAGATCGGCGTAACTGCTCAAATTGTGATGTTGCTTTACACCTGCGGCTTAAATGATCTCTCACATGTATTGTACCTGTTTAGAAGCGAAACAGGGATTGGTGGAATGCTGCAGCTTTAGTGTACGAATTAATAATTAATTTTATTGGCTCTTTATGATGTTCTATGACAGGCTTTAACTTGTCCTGTGGAAGATTGTGTGTACCAGGATAATAAGGAAAATAATTTCAACGTTATGCACTCTAAATCTGCGTGTAGTGATTGGTGTCTGTATCCATTTTGTTTCACTTCTTTGTTCATAGCGACATTCTGTGACCGTAATAACGTATGTAATTATGTTTATTCGTTCAAGCATATTTTTACACGTATTATATTACTTTCCTTCAGGGATGGGCAAAATACATGCAAATATGTATCGAAATACAAATACGAAATAATTTGTCAAATATATATTTAATTACAAACCTAATTACATTTTCAAAAAAGTATTTAGGTAGAAGATACAAATACAACCCAATGAATTTGGTCTCCTCCAAATACTTTTCCAAATACATTCTTCAAAATTTGCGCCAGCGACTTCAGGGCACCTGCAACAAGTTTCTAGGCATCTCATTTTAATTTTGCATCGCACACTCGAGATTTAGTGTGCGAGGCTCTAGTAACGTAGTAGAAATATAATTTAAAAAAAAATGTAATCAGATTGGACGTAATAGGTGAAAAAAGTACAGAGCTTAAAGCAGCTTTTTTTGTCGATTACATTTTGGTATAGACCAACAAAGAACCGAGGCGACCAAGGCGCGCAGCACTAGCTAGAGAATTTTTATTGTTGCAACTCGCACCAGTTACGAAAATCTGGACGACTCGCACATTTAGAATGTTCCAGGCAAAAATATGGATAGAAATCAGGCTGGAAAGTATCACAAGTTGTCACAGGCACCTTTTTAGCCAGTCTGCCTGGGAACGTCGATTTCGTCACTATTCTTGACCTGGACTAGCACCGTAATCACAAAATCACTAAACGCTTATGCTTGATTGAGAGACACTGCATTCGGTGCAGAACGTAGTTTTCTTCCTGCTCTGGAGAGTGCCTTTAAAATAAAGCCGGAGGAGTAAAAGGAAAAAAGCCCCATGGCCGAATAAAGGATGGAGACTATACCTTACAACCACATGCATAAAAACAAGATGTTAAAAACAAGAACAAGAGGTGCACAAGAACAAGATGCCCACAAAATTGTATTTAATTACAATTGTATTTGAAATACCCACGTTTTAGTATTTAAATACACATGTCAAATGCATTACCCAGTTTGTAATTAAATACAAAGGCAAATACACAAAGTATTTAAAATACTGCCCATCCCTGCTTTTCTTTAACCTATTCACATGTAAGCACGGTTGTAGGCACCGCGCTAGGTGGCCTTAGTTGTCCTTTAGCTCCGTCAACCGAGACTGAGTGGGAATGAATAGATTATCAATGCGTAAGCACTGACTATTCCATACAGCGAATCGATGTCACCAGCTTCGAAGCCACACCAAACGGCACCTTCCCCTGTTCCAATGGAGCGGAGACGTCTGTAGCAGAAACCTGATGGATAGGCTCCCATTGGCTGGCGCGCGTCATAGTTTCAAGGAACGAGACTCCCATTGGCCCTCGCGCGGTGTAGTTTCAGGGAACGCCACCAGAGAAGCCCTCTCTATGACGGCGCAGCGCACGCAGCGGCCCGGCCCCCGGTAAGAGATGCGGGCTTGGCCGCGGAGCCCGCGAGGGCCAACTCCGGAGAGGCCGCATGGCCAACCTCAGCGCGGCGCGGCCACTTCCCATGAGCGCGTAGTCGGCCGTCGGCCGCTACCTCGGCAGTAATGAAACGTGACCGCTCACGCCACTGCGCTACAGACGAACTAAGGAAGCGGAAGAACGACATTCATGCTTTTACATTCACAACTCATAAAAGGTGCACGTTAGGTGTCCCCGAATGTTTTTTTTTTCGACAAATTAAGTTACTTTGTTATTTCTAATAAAACTTTCGTGTTTATTAATAACCAAAAAATATTACGACTAGAATACAGATAATGATCATGTCTATGTATGATGCAGATCCATCAAAGCAGCCTACAAAAACTCCTCTGCCTTTTCGTATTGTACGGGTATTTTTACCTGAAACCTTGTAAGTTTCACTGGGTATGGTGTACCAGTAAATGTTTTCTCCAAACTTTTCTCTTGAGGCCGGGCTGTGGAGAATAGGTTCGAAGAATCTTTGACGTGCGAGATGGTCTGCCCAAAGTTGCGCATTTTCGTGAAGCTTCGGGTGAAAGGACAAAATAAGAACATATATATTACATCTGGTAGGTTCACGTTCAGTCGCAGCCTGTATGCTTCTCTGCTTCGAAGAATCAATCGAACTAAAATGTCAGCTTTATAACTCTGCTGTTGTTCTTTCAATGTGTGGCCTTTAATAACTGCACACGCGTATTTGACTAGACTCTGACGGCTCTTGCTCTCATTCATTTGTAAAATAAAACGGAAGGCTCTAGTTTTCGATTCGTTTAGAGGAGAACTGAGAAAAACCTCTAACGCCAATTTTATTGTTTAAATGTTTACTTTGCTGTGACAGTACTACAGAGACAAAGCTTTATGTTCGGAAAAACGACAAACATTTCTTTTGAACGCTTACCAACTCGCTCCTAATGAATGTTCCCAAAGCTAAATGAAATGTCATTACGTCATTTTTCCCCCTAAAACCAGCGACGCTTCGCGGAAGTACGGCGTTAACCGTAACGGCTCCAAGCTCCGAGCGCGAGTAGCCCATAAAACTTGGCGAAACCGGCTTTTTCTTTTCTCCTGCGCCTACTCAAATCCCGCGACTGGGAATTAGAAAGGAAGCGGAGAGAGTAGGCGAGACCGAGAAGAGGAGAAGGAGGACAGGGTTGTTTTGGAAACAGGTGAGACCCTTCGCCTCTGTTCGTGTCGCCCAACCGGCCCTCGGATATCTTGAACGGGTAGGATGTAACGCGTTGACGACACCAAGTGGCAAAGCTCATAACGACGCCAGCCTCGCCGTAGAGTTGCCCGTGCTGGAAAAAAAAAAATGACGTCACGAATTCGGTGCATCTGTCGGATCTCCCGGGATCTATAGCGTTTTCCGATTGCTGTTCTTCGAGCGCTTGCCAAATTCGGCAGTTTAGAAAAAACGAAAAACCAGCTTTCCGTTCATAATACCAGCCCTGGGTTATCATTAGCGGATATTGCTGATCATAGCTAACATATATCTGAACATGAAAGAAACGTTTATATTTTTATTTTAATATACCTATAAATTTGATAGAAAATGTAATACGCTGACAAAGTAACTCAGAACCGGGGGAAAAATGAGAAGGTCCGTCTCGGTTTTCCTCCGCTTTTGTGTTACTATGCCAGTACTGAACGAGCTAATTCGCACTCTTGATAAGGTTTTAGTAAGCAGCTGGTCACGTACTCTTCTGCTTAATCCGAGATTCGGAACATGATGCATGTTTCGATAGTAGTTGTGCCACTGCCGGCATTCCTGCTGAAACGTGTCTCTCTGAAATAGTAAAAATTGAAGTTATCTCCATTAAACGTAATTTGATAGCGGCCCGTGTCAAACTTTTTACATAGTAGGAACACATGTTTTTGAGTTTCATTTTTAGTCAAATTGATTTTCTTTTGCGTTTATTGTTTTTTATTGATGTTGTGTTTTCCGGTGTGCATCTTCGGTACTGGACCAAAAATCGGCATTAATCGAAGGTTATCGTTTAAAAAAAAATACGGGACACGGGAATAAAATTGTCTAACCCCCAGACCATGCACATGACCCGTAAAGAAAAAAAAAGTCCCTGCAGAGATAAGAGAAGGAAACGAGTTAGTTAAGTTGTGTACTTTGCGAAGAAAAATGCAGCTTCGGGAACATTTCAAAAGTTGCTCCTTTCCGGGTTAACAAAAATAAAACGGCAAATAACAAATCTCCCCACGCGTATTTTAGGTATTGATCACTCACCTAGAATCGGGATTCTTCCGTCTTTCGTGATTTTGATAATACCTTCTGTGGGATTAATTTCTTTTTTCGGCATACACCAACACACACAAGCCAAAGGTTTAAACTTAAATCTTGCTCCTCTAACACGTAAAATTTGTGGTAATAAGAAGATTACAAAAAAGTAGCATGTTTCATAAAGCTCTGTCAATTGTAAACGTTTATCTAGTTTTGTTTTGCGTGTGTCGAATCAAGAGGTCGGCCTGTACTGTACTAAATAAAATGTCATATAACTAGTTCATAATTAGAGCCCTGGATATCCGATAATTATCTGCGGATTACTGCTGATTATCGGCGGATATCCACAGTCAACTGGCGAATGCGGATAAAAATTATTAGCATTTGGCGACTTGCAAGTGGGATGCAAATGCCAGGCGCTGCAGTTGCGAATCGGTTGCGAAAGTCCGCGGGTCTGGATCTACATTTTTGCCGAGGCGGCCTATAAACGTGTGCCACCGCAGAGTGTAGATTGAATACTTGAGTGACACTTTGATTTTCGTCATCGAATATTTGACGGGAGCATCTTATTCTCTCTAAAATATAAAGTGCCAATCGGGGATAAAATGGTTCTTGACGCCAAGAAAGACCTGCTCCTCAACGAACATCGCTTTCGAGCTCTATCTTGCTAAAAAATGCTGTTCGTAGAAAAGTAAAGAATACAGAGGCATCGATCATCTCTGAAAAGCGTGTTTTGTTTGGCAGAAAGCAAAAATGTAAAAACGCCCTTCGTGCAAAGACATCGAAAAGAAATTAGAAACCCCGTTCCCCACTCGTCCCCCTCCTCCAAGCGTTCTGGTCTGCAGTGCCGTTTGGACTTCTCGCTCAAATGGGATGTTGAGACTAGGCGGAACAAAAAGTTAGTAATGTTTTTTTATCTAATTTTAAGCAGTGTGGCCCAATTGTTGCAGTTCCGTTAGAAAAAAAAGCAAAACAAACCGCGTCAACGAAGTAGAGGAAGAGAGCTTCAAGACCACAAGTAGTGCCCTGCATTAGTCAAGTTGTCGAGCACTCTATCGACTTCTTGCCAAATTATGTAAGCACCAGCGAGAATGCTGGAATGGTCGGCCTACGCGCCGCACGTGGTGGCTTGTGCAACAGTAACTGTTCTAAACAATATTCGAGAGCAAATGTCATAGTGCACGCGCGTTCGTCAAAGCCCTGTTTTGATTAATCACTTTGAATCTTTTATGCGAGGAAGGCGAGCGCGTTCGCCGGGTAAAGATCAGCACCGACATTTATTTTAGGAACATTACCAACAGTTTAGCTAGACTAAATCATTCTAAAGCATTGCAGTTGTACATGGCAAAAATCGATGTTTCAAGTATTCTCTTTTTGCAAATACAATCAACGACTCAAAGAAGCTTCCCGAGAAATTTGTAAATTGCAACGATATTTTAATGTTTGAGGATGCTGTTAGACTTGTTTACTAAGTTTAAAACCTAAGCATATCGCCTTGGTGTTATTTTCTCTCCTTTCCCTTCCTGCGAACTTACATATGTATATATCGCGTGATATTTTGAATGGAGTATTGTAGTTGTGTCTTTATATATTGCATTCTTTGTTATCAGTTTGAATGTACACAGCACGTGTCTTCATTCATTGTTGAACTTTGTTGTCAGTAAATTCATAATGTTATATTGAATATAACTTTTTTACGTGCTTTTAATTTCCTTTTATTTTCCTTTTCATTTGTGCTTTGCACGCGTCTTTTATCCAATTTCGTAAATACGAAATTGTTCAAAGTTTTTATTGGAGGTATAAACTGTTTCGTTCTGTTAACTTTTGTTCCTCCCTGCCACGGCCCACGGGCCAGCTCTGTGTATAAATCAATAAATAAATCTACATTCCGAGAATTCTTCTTGATGCTTGGGTAATTTAGCAATATGTATATTTGATGGTCGCGTGGAAAACATGACTTCTGAAGCACCTAAAGCAAAAAAGTAGGGGCTCGAAGCTTCTGCAGGCACTTAAGGATACATGCTCACGGCTCCTTAAAAAAAACAGCAAGTGCAAAGTTTGCACAAGGTTACTGTGTTTATACACCCCAAACTAAAAGTGTTTGTCTGCTCGAAGACTCAGATTGGCACTCCGTACACAGTATGTCAGAAAGATGATCGCGGCTGCCAAAGACCGTCGAGTGAAAAAGGAAGGTGAAGTCAAAGGTGCCGATGATATCTCTGCTTCAGAACCACTTCAGAAAAAGAAACAAATCCGATAGACGCCCAGGGGTATTCTATCTGATCTAATGGGCGCGGTAAGTGATGTAGCAGACATGGCAAGTGATGAAGTCGATAAATACATCGACCACATGTGGATTTGGGAGATTCAATTCGAACTTCACGAGTGTTTCGCAACTCAATCTTATAGCGCAGTTCCTGCATGCCACTCCAGCATCAAGTGTACCAGTTGAAGAATAAGACATCTCATCGGCCGGCCTTGTGATTCAAGACAGGCGAACCCGTCTGTATCCGTTTATCGTTGACGATATTTTGTTTCTACAGAGCAACCTCGACCAGTGAAACCTGGCCCGTGTGTACGTTAACGTTTTCTTGACTTTCCAAATTGCTGCTCTGTGCATGGTCCGGAGCATGCAGTTGCGGTTTGTGTTCAAACCTGAAACTTATAGGTGAGGCCGTTATGAAATAATGTGACATTTTCTCCGTGTACTGGGGCCTTACACGCTTATACGGGTACTTCGCTGCAATAAATAACCACATTCCCTCTCCCACTTTTATATTGTTTCACCTAAATAAAGTGACACTGTTAATTTATATACAAAGGAAATACGCGACTGCCTAATTAACTGTTACAAAACAACGAAAACAAATATTTTAGCGCATTTTCTGGACACTGCCCCAAACACTAATCGCGACCTCACGAGTGGGATCATTTTTCCATTAACGGGATGTGTACCCTCTGGGAAAATTACCGTTGATAATATAAATACGATCAAACAAATCATGATAACATATTATTTACCGTATTCTCACTCAAAAAAACAAATTATCAACGATTATCCAACGGCCTATTAACTAGATGCCTTTTTTCATTCAAGATATATTTTATAATGTAAAATGAATGTGCGGATTCTGTGTCGAATGCCGTTCCGAGTATTGCAGATGTGAATCGGATGCTAATGCAAAGTGTGCGAATGCATATCGGATGCGGATCGAATGTTTATGCAATCATTTATGAATATCGCATAGGCGATTGGGAGTGGGGATACACAATATGGCGATACGAATCGGATACGAATGATATGACTTATCCGCGCAGAGCTCGACTGAGAAGCGGTTAGAGATGGTTTCATTATGGAACATTAATAAAAAAATTGAGTTGCAAACATACTTATTTTGGGCGGGAGATGATTCCACTGTACTGCGTTTGTTTACATGTTTAAGCATAAAAAATAAGACCTCTCTAGATGAGATATTTTTAGTTCATACGGATAAATGTCTTATTCAAGCTGAGCGCGTTGATCAAGTTGAGTTAATTTTGACACTATTGGATTTGGACTATAAAATGTCTGGTTCCCCTTAATTTGACAAGGAGAAGTGAATTAGGCTTATCGCACACCATAGTAGAACAAATAGTACACACATCTTGTGTTATACCGAAGCTCATGGACTGACTTTCGTCTTGCCACACTGATGTGTGAAAGCCGCTGCGCACAGTGTCAAATATGGATATACTCCGTGAAATAAACATCTTTCTTCGTGTTCGATTAATATAGATAAACAGAATGTATCCTCCTCGTTATATCAAGAAAATAAAAATGCACACCAAAATGCACACCTAAGTTTGCAAATGAATATTGAATATTTTAATGATTTTATAAACGAGTAATGCCATTTCTGTCAAATTACGCTTGTTTCTTTGTCGTGCGATTGTCCCAATCCGATTAACTGAGTTTTCTTCTTAGGAAAAATATTAAAAGAACTCGAACTTACTTGGCTCCTCATCCGAATTTTGTGTGCCGTCGTCGGGCTCGCTGAAAAATTTAAAAAAAGCCTGATTGTCTCCTCTAGCGAAGCGTGTGAGACGCTGACTGCAATATCAGTTACTTATTAACTTCATTTAGGGGTGAGAAACAGAGCTTTTCTTAGAGTGCATGCAAAAAAAAAAAATAGAACGTAATCAGAAAAAAAGTAAGGCATAAGTTCTGAGAACTAAACGCGATCCAAAAGAACTATTTAGCAACGACACACATGTCATATAGTGTAAGGCTTCTACTTTGCCATGAACTTCGCAGAATATTTATCATACGTGCTACTACCAAAATCACGCGAAGTGGAACTTTTTCTTCACTGCTCTGAACAACTTACCTAGATACGAGAAACCACCCTTGTATGAAAAAAAGAATACCTTAATAACTGCTTATTTTTACTCTGAGACATCACTCAACGATGTTTATAGACGAAGTAAATAATGGCCAAAATTTTGGTCACATTCAACGCACCGGCGTGAACCAACTTTTGAAGTGTAAAAATAAGCGTCGGCTTTACTTGTAACATTCTAACAACCGTTATGCCGAGTCTGATAAGCTTTCAAATGCACTTCATTTGTAGGCTTGCTCGCATAACACGTACAGTTGAGCGTTACCATTTTCTGATGGGAACAAAAGTGAAGTAAATTGTTTCTTTTTCATTCTACCTTTTTTATGTTAAGCATAAGGTGTTTATCACCGCGTCTGTTGCAGTGCGGACAATAGGAAAAAAAAAACAGAATACTAATCAAACTGCGTACGTTTTCCTGAGTATACAGGTTGTATATTTTTAATGCAAAGATATCTAGAAAGGGGAGGCGGAGTGGGCGAACGTTGCACTGGTTCCAGAGTCACCATGCATTTATCAGGCACAGCGGACATTATACAATACAGTAGCCCGCAAGATAAGTCAGATAAGGAGCTCAAATTAGTTCATTAATATTTTAATGACTGATGTTACGGTTCATACAGCACTTGCCCCGTTTTATTTAAGACGTTTTAGGTAGGCTCATTGACGCCGAATACGCAGATGCTGCCACATTAGTTCATATTTCTAGGTTTTCACACTTTCACACCCTATATAGTAATTGAAAGGGAAACCAGAAGGATTTATTTTAATTACCGCTCGGGAAATCGTACCTGCAATATAGATATAAAAAATTATATGCTACAAAATAAGCAACGCTTAGAGTATCGGCTCCTCATTCCCCAATAATCTTGTGGAAGCCGCCAGTTTGCTGCATTGGCAGAGCGGACGCAATCGTTGTTGGTTACGATTGAAAAAAAGCGACTTCCTGAGCTTCAGATGAGGCGTCAAGAAGCTCAGTTCTTCTCTGTCGCAAACTGTTTTAACAATTCTGGAGGTCAGAAAACCGGTTAGTTCGAATTGAAATAAAATAATTGTTAGGGTAGTTGGAAACAATAAATGTTTGCACCAAGGTGACCTAAACGTCGTTATTCTAAAGCGCAGGTTAATTAGAGGATTCAGACAATACCTGCCTGCCTAGAAGACAAAGCTTACCCCCCCCCCCCCCCTCCCAAACGTCATGGACAGCGGATCCGTGCAGCGCCACCTACTGTGCGTCGGTATCAGCGCCAGCGCATGTTGCCACATCTGACAACGAGACCGACGCCAGCAATCCGAGTTTTCAAGACGGACGTCGTCGAGCTTCAGGTTTTAGCCGCACGGGGCGGGTCATGAATCTACTAACAACGACGTCAGGCAAGCGCCTAGTCTTGTAGGGGGTATTTTTTGATATATATAATAACAAAAACACGCGATTGTGTCAAAAAAAAGCAAGATACGCAGTCACTATCTTACGGCTATTCTTCTGTGTATGTCTGGTCGCACGTGGGTGTGTGCCTGTTCTTTGCGAGATTCACGTTTCAAGAGTGCACAGTGCTCACAAATTGCATTAATTGGTATCGCGTAAGCTCACAACGTTCCGGTCTCCAGCTGCTCATTCGAAAAACTTATATTCACAATATGGAGCTTACCACGTATACAAACGTTTAACGTGTTCGTGCTTCTAACTCGCGCGGGAAAGATGTACTTCGACAGAACTTATATCGAATTTAATCACTTAAACATTGATATATACCTAATATTTTCCTGTCATACTTAATCATGAAAGGTCATGTGCGCTGATCTAAAGATGTGAACTATTTTAAATTAAAAAAATTAAAGTTGAAAAAACAAGGAACTATCAAGACTAAGCACAAAAAACAAGAAGCGCCCAGTAGAAAAATAACATTGGGGGACACCATTTGCTGCACAGCTTAAAATGTGATTTTGAAGCGGCGTTAACTTCTTCAAAAACAATTTTCAAATACGAAATTAGGTCGATAAGGATATCAACCAGCGCCAAAAAAAAAAAAAAAAAAGATGCCGGAGACCGAGACATAAAACTTGTTAAATTTTGATACTCACTTACAGTAGACTCAATACGGATTTATGTTTATATTTCATTACACACACCGCTTCCAAAACCCTCGTGTCGCACATGTTTTACCGCAAAATCGTTGTAATAGATCAAAATATTTGTCGGAGTCTTCTTCTTTCAATGTAACAGTGACGAAACTAAATGCTGGTTTTTGTCCTTGCTCTGGCATGTCTAAAATGTCAGAAACTGGCCTCATATCTCATGTGCTATACTTATCAATAGATCAATCCTATAGGCAGCAAATGACATTTCAATTAAACATGGATCCTTGGCACATGCAGTCTATCTCATAGCATACTCCTCAATGAGTGGAACAAAATCCGATGTGTCCTCCACGCAGCGGTATTTGCTAGTTACTATTCTTATCTAGTACGGCTGTACAACAGGAGCGACGGCTTTTGCATAACCAGAGAAAAGGTTCCTATTAATATTTATGTAGAATGTTTTGTGAACTCAGATTCAATTAGTAATCGTCTTTCTCAAAAAGCGATGCCCATCAATACAAGGACGATAGGTTGACAGTGTTGACATGCACATGATAATGGATGGGAACCTCCTTAACCAAGCTATAACACAACCTCAAAGTTTCACTCACACTTGGCGGTGACTACGGTGACCACGAATGTAGAGATAAGAACGAAACCACTTATCTTCATTTTGATATAGTTTATCAAAGCCTGGTGAAACAATTATTTGCCTGTTAAGTAACTTTTCGCGACTTTATATACACCCCAAATATATCGGCAGTTTTTCCACCATTGTTTTCTTGTTTCTGTGAAACCATTGTTTTTTGTAGCGTTATTTATGTTCTCCGCCCACCCCGCTTGGACCTCGAAAGGTCCGCAGTATGCACTAAATAAATAAATAAAGTGAATTACGAACACTTACATTTTAAAGCATAATACCAAACTGTAACTTTTATCCTTTATAGGGCAGGCGAATGTACTTTAAAACGTAGTATGTGCACCAAACACGGTTAAGCCATTTCTACACCTCAATTATGTAACCTTCTATACAAACCTGGTTCATTGAAAATGTCAAATAATGTTTACGTTTTTATGATAAGGGTAAACATTGCTCCTAGCAAGAATTGGCGCAAATATCAAAATCAATATGTTAGCAGCATTGTTGTTTACAGCTTCACTTTTTGTTGAGCTAGAGTATTTTATTGGGTCATACGTTTCTGTTAACAGATATGCGCCATGTTTATAAATAGGATAGCAAAAATTAATATGCCGATTCACGTGTATATTTACTCAATGTGTTCACCTCTATTAGCGGGCTTCGATGAGTACCCCGCTCATAGAGGTGAGCGGGGTACTGACCTGATCACTTGTAACGAATAACAAATGATGAGGCGGTGACTAACTACAGAAACCGAGCGTTTAATGGGGCGAACTGGTGCTCGATACAAAATGGAAGAAGGTTAGCGTCGCAGGCGTCGATGTCGGCGAAACGGCAGGATCGAGCGCCGGGGCGAGACTGACCGCGGCTCCCCACGCGGAGCCGCCTATGTACATGCGTGGGCTTCTGGAACAATCGGTTTAGAACGTTCTGCGCGTAGAGGATTCGAACCTCAAATACACGAGAATGTTCTCGAATTCACACGAACGCGACATTTCCAGAAATAACACAAGGGCGCATCCGCTCCCAGGCATCGAACCTTGAGGCTTTTGCAAGGACACAAGGACGACAACCACTCGGCTACGGGCGTGCTTGATCGGCGACGCGCGTGGCAAGGTTAGCTGCATTGTTGGTGAGAGTTTCGCATTCTGTTGAGCTGGAGTATTCTATTGGGTCACTAGTTAATCTTATGACATATCCGCCATTTTTATAAATGAGATACAAAATATCCATATGCGATCCACTTGTGTATTTACTCATTGCGCTCACCTCTATGAGAGAGCTTCGGTCAGTTCTCGCGCTGTTGCAGTTCGTAGTTTTTTTACCCTTCATATTTCTACAGTGGTAGTGATAAACCATACATTTAAACTTGCACTCGACAAAACATTGTTGAATCAGTTATTTAATTAGAACAACTATTGCGAATTTTTTGTCGGTATATAGCGCTTTTGCAAAACAAAACGTGATTTATCAGAAGAAATGTCTCCCTTCTTCTTTAGTGGTTCAAAATAAAACATTATGAGTATTAGAATAATACTTCTGGATTAATTTGGTTTACCCCCTTAAGACGCAAAGTAAAATCGCACTACCACTCCTGATGGGTGTGGCCTAGCTATATATGACTTTATAATCAAAATGTTTAAGCCCCATCCCTTCTGTCCCGTAGCTACTGTGTAAGAAGAGTGATTCTTTGTTGTTAATTTAATCAAACAAGATGTCAATAACTTTCAAATTATTTTCCAGCGCTAGGCGGACACATTCCCAAAAGTATTCGGGGATACAAAAAATGAAAGACGTTTACAAATTTCTGTAACGCGAAAGTAGCGACAGCTCTTGAGCAGGAGGAGAGGAGGGTACGGAGGAGAGCGTACGCCCCTCGTCCTCCACAGTACCCTAGCTCCTCCTCACCTCCTCCTCGAATTCTCCTCCCGTCCTCCTCTCCTCCTCCTCTCTCCTCCTTTTTTCCGCATCTTCCTCCCCTCATTAGTTACTCCACCTCCTCCTTTCCTACTACTCCTCCTTTCCTCCTACTCCTCTCCTCCTCATTTCCTCCTCTCCTAGCCTCCTCCTCTGTACCCTGCGCTCCTCCCGCAGTTTCCCCGCTAAATTTTGCTGGAAAATTAAGGCCACGTGACCTCATCACCAATTCAGTTTCCAACACCAATTCAGATTGGTGTTGAGGTTACGTGACGTCAATTGCCCCACTAAATCTAGCGGAGAAACTAAATTTGATCATGGGTGACGCGAGACGAAGTAATGCGAAGTCATTTTCGCCTTTAAACTTAGCGGGAAAATTGACGTCACGTGACTTCAACACCAATTCAATTTCCCGCTAAATTTAACGAGACAGTTACGCCTATACGAGGAAACGGGCGCCTAAGAGCTGCGCTCTAATACTGAGGTACCCATATTTTAAGGTAAACATACGGATACTGAAATGCATTTTTATTGAATAGAGTATCCTTGAGATACCTCTGCGGAAACAGCAGAAATAGATCTCAAAATACAGATAGGGGCAGTCCAGCGGAGCGGAGTGCTTGGAGCGGGTCTAACATCACCGTTTTTGACTCTCATCTGGGTACAAGCCTTCGCTTGACCTTTTGTTAGCACCTGACTCTCCGCTGGAATGCCTATTCCTGCTGTGAATCATGCCCTTGTATGGAAACCAAAGCGATTGCTTATTGTGTTAAAAAGAAGTGACACCAGATACCCGAGCGTTAGAATGTGCGGAATGCAAACATTTCTATCACACTGGGAAGTGTTCGGGTATCAGCAAAACCAAACACAAAAGCATGACGACCGCTGATTCGTTGCCTTGACGATGTACAACTTGTAAAATACATGACCAGCGACAATTACCACAAGCCAATAATGAGGCAACAGAGGTAGCCTACAAAACCGAAAATCAAAGGCAAACAGCTGTGTTAACACAACTACAAGAAACAAGCAGAAAACTGACAGGAGGTCTTGAGCAAACCGGATGAAATTAAAATAAGGATAAATGTGCAGTCAACAAAGAACCCTACAATGATACAGAAACTGGATAGGCAAGAGAAAACGATCGAAGCTATTAGAAGAGTCGGCTAGCATACTTTTGAAACAGTATGATGACTTGCTAAAAAGGTGGACTCATTGGTAGGCGTCACGAACGAGTTGAGAAAAAGAACGAACGAAACAAAAGAACTCGGAAAAGAAATAGACGAAAGAATTAAAGAACTAGAATGGGCAGTGGAGAACGCAGAACAATATTAACAACAGATTAACATCGAAATTCATGATATCGCTCAAAACAACGAGGAAGACTTATCAGAGGTCACGAATAACCTAGCAAGAAAGCTTAAACTTTCCGTATTGCAGCCGGATGCTGATAAGATTGAGTCCATGCACAGACTGAGAGCAAGGGAGGCAAAATTCCTTTGGCCATTGTCTGGTTCAATGACAGGCTAGAAAGGAACCAGTGGGTTACCAAACGTACCGCCTTGAATGCAGAGTGAATTTACATCAATGATAACCTAACGCAGCTCCAGTGATGGCTGTTCTGGGCCGGAAAAGATTGTGCAAGTGAGCAGGGCTACAATTATGTATTGATGAAGAACGGCAAAATTCTGGTCAGACAAATGGAGGGGAGGCCTGCAATACCTATCGAAAGTGAAAGTGACTTGAACAAAATTCATTGAAATGGCCACATGTAGCGCATTTAAAGGCTGGAAACGATACGCCCAAAACGTTCTAACTGAAGAAGTTATAAGAAACCAGAAGAAGACTCCCCACATTTTTTAAATTAATGTGAGGAGCCTAAAAAAACACTGGGATGAACTAAATGTCTACCTGTTGAGCCCCCTTTTAGATGTTGATATAGTAATATCGACGGAAATAAATATTGAAGTTGAAGAGCCTTTAACATAGCTGGTTTTCACTCAATATCAGTACATAGAGAAGGCAAAAAAAGGGGGTGGTATTTTAGTTTACATTAAAAATAGTTGGCTATCCGACTGTATTCAAGCGTCATTACATCACGCAGAAGTTCTTGCGATCACTACACATAGGGCTGAGTGGTCCCTTACTCTATTTTCTGTTTATAGACCTCCCAAACGCAATATAAATTTATTCTATAAAGAATTTGTAACACTGCTCAATAAATTTAATAATGACGAGCACATCGTATGAATATGGTACTTTCTTCGGCGTCCGGTGCCAACACAAATGTGGAGTAACCGAATATCTGGACATATTATGCAGTTATTGGCTTCAAAATTTAATAATTATACAAAATAAGAGTACCTGGGTAACAAAATGACAAGACCGTGTATTGATATTGTACTTTGGTGTAATTTAGATTTTATAGCAGGAGTTATAAAACAAAAAGTGGCAGACCATTATTTCATTGTGCTTAGGACTATGGGTGAGGATCCTACAATCAAAACAAACAAACAAGTACATAAACAGGTTCTAGACAACAGTAAAATAGATGACAAGGTAAAACGATTCAAATGGAACTCTCTGTTGCATCTTGATCATGTCACCCTATATAAAACGGTGGTTGACAAGTTCAGTGATGTATACGAGAACTCGAGAATAGCGAAAAACTGACACAAAGCAAACCAAGTAACAAGTGGATAGACAAATAAGTATTAAAATTAGGCTGTTAAAAAAGTAAATTATAGAATAGATGCCAATGAACTCCCCATGATGTAGCATTAAAGAAAGAATTCAGACAACTATAAAACAAGGTAACTGCCAAAATTAGAGTGGCTAAAAAAGGTTTCATATGAAGAAACTCAAGCAACGTGGGATAAAATTACGGCAAACGTGGAATACAGTTAATCAAATAATAGAAAAAGAAAACAACTAAGGACAGCATACAGGGTGAAACAAAGACACGCCAGGCTCTTCAAATCGACCGGAAAATTCGGTTTCTTAACCTATCGCGCTACGACTTTGTGCAGCGTTGCCCACAGATGGTGCTTTTTTTTCTAAAATTTGCAAAGAGAGAACTTACCTGAGGAAAAGGTAAAGAAAGAAAAAGGCTTAG